CACCCTATAGACTTGGCACCAAAAAGTTGGCGATCACTTGTCAGGCCGCCAAAATCCGTCACCTCTCGGCCGAAGACATTGCGGACAGTGCCTCCTGCAGTTTGAGATTCCAAAACACCTCCTAGCTGAATACATCCCTTCCCGGCCCGTATGAGAAACAGTGCAGCCCAACAAGCACCTAACCGACGGCTGACGATTCGCGAGTTCGCTCCTCCACCACCGTGCGAGCTTGACTCCTGGCGAAGATCTTGATTCGGGGCCGTGGGATTCAGCCGAGGGTGTGAAGGATGATCTTAGCTTCAGTGATCTGGATGATTAGCTTGTGTAATGAGACAAGCACATTGATCCGCGTTCTGCTCTCTTCGGGTGCCTCCCACCAGTAAAGCGCCTTGCATTGAAACAGCGCCTCTAGAGCCCATTGGACTCCCATCAGAAAAACAAACCGCTGTAGACGCTGAGTCATCATCCAGGTCGAACAACATATGTGCCCGATCTGCACCCCGTCTTGCGCGGCATGGAACCACTGCCAGTGATATCATCTAGAATCTCCTATCCGAGTCTTGCAGACGCGAGAGGCCTCACGAGTTTCGTCTGCCAGCCAGGTCAAGGATGGCGTGCTTCCAACTACAGGTTTGGTCTGGATTTACTGCTTGCGAGTTCATTCAGAGCACAATCCACCGGGCCGGGGCAGCAGACAGGCTCATTCCGGAAGGCCTGAACAGCCTTGTCCCGCAGCTTGGACCCGGCACCTAACCGGAACTCCCGTTAAATCGTCTATGGATCTCCGATTCCAATCCGCGAAAGCCCCTCTCGCCCTTCCTGGTCATCGCTCGCTGCCGCACATCTGCAGAGCCCAGCGCATGCACGAGAGCTTCGAGGCGAGCCTGCGACAAAGCTAGATTCGCTAGATGTCTCTTTGTCATCAGAAGGTCGAGTCAAGCTAAGATACGTCTTACGTGACTTACGCGAGCAGGATAACATGCGACTTCGCAGATAAGGGCTGGAGCTCTTCGACTGGGTGCGGCCAAAGACCATATGTTCACAATCCACGCTCATCCGCTCTGCAGATGGCACGCTGATACATGAAACCCTGCAAGTACACTCGTAGAGAGCCCTGTCATAGAGGCGCACGCAAGTCTATCTGACTGTAAGAAAGTACTGGCGGGTGCACTCAGAGCCTGATACTCTTCGTCGCCTGAGGTGGCCAGGGTACATAAGCTCAACAGCCTCACCGAAAGGGAGTGAGAACCATCGAAGACTACGGACCAACAGCATAGACCCTGCACGGCCTTGCCCCGACTGTGACCACGTATGACCATGCCAAGCCTCGTTGCTCCCTTTCAAACCTACAGCTGCTACCCACACTCTGGTCCTAACGCTCGGCCGAGCGTCTGTCATCGATGTCGTCTTCGGTCGCGAGATCTTCCCACAGAGCTTTCTCCAGATCTGCAGAAACATCATCAACTGCACCTGTCTCCTGGGCAAGTGCACAATGCCAGTCTGGACGAGAAGAACAAACACAACCAGATCACACATGTGTCCTGCCGATGCATCGCTCGCCATTTGGCCACCAATTCCCGCGCTGCAGCCTCGGTTAAGCCATCAACACATGCAGACTGCGAATAGCAGAAGCTATCGGGAGGAGCTTGTACATGCCTGCACACCCTTCACATACAGATTCTACTATCTTCATGGGCACGCATCGACAAAGATGTCTGATGTGCGACCTGCCCGGTGTTATTATGGCGTTGCTTTCATGGACATATGCAAGTGATCTGACAAAGAAAGGCAAGCCACGAGAGTCTGGCCTGCAGCCTCTTGCCCCTTCCAGGCCTCCGGTGGAAAGACATATTTCGACTCTTTGACGAGATTCGTTTTCATCTCTTGCGGCGCAGATGCGATGATGGTAGAGATGAAGGGGATGAATGTCTTGTTGGATGGAAAACTCAGCAAACGTATATCTCATCGGGAATTAGGATCTACGACACACCTTAGCCAAGCGATGCCAGGAACTCTCACCCCCCACTGCAATATCTGTCTTTACTGCCAACCTTTCGCTGTCCCCCGACAGTCTAACTCACGAGTGGATGACTGTCAATGTTATATCTGCTTCTGTGGACCCAGCCCAGCGGTCGACGGTGGTGTAGGTTTCAGCAACTATCCGGTGCAACGAGTGGTTGTGTAGATAATGCCTTTTCTTCGTCTTCTGGTTGGCATCCCGGAGCCCCCTCTAATGCCTTCGCCGCATCGTTGACCACTCTGCCGACGCCTGGCAGGACAGCAAATGGCAGGGGAAAGCAGTACATATTGCGCTCGTGATGCCTTTGCATGCTGCACAGACAAAACTTTGCTTCAGCCACCTGTCTGCCGCAGTACCGCGGCGTCCACCGGCATTGCGGCAAGATGTTGAAGCTGGAGCAAGGCATCGTCTGCCACCTCGCAAGCCTTCAAGGTCACCCGAGGGGATGGGATCAGCTGCTGCTGTCAAGGGGTGGCGGTCTTTCCGTATATTTGCTTCAAGTTAGAACCTTCATCTTTGGCCCTTGTTTCTATCTTCAGCTTACTGCGGGTGCGCGCGCCGAATAGGTAAAGAAACGAGGTCAGGGTTCTCCGACTGCATCTTTTGGATGAACCTGTGACTGCGCGGTTCTGCAAGCAGTTCCGCCGTGCTTTCCCATGCTAAATTGGGACCATACGGGATTTGCCTCACCCTCAGATAATGCCGGAAGCTGCAGTTCTGGGCGCAAGCCACACCGTGAGTCATGGTCTTCACCGCAGGACAAGACAAAGTCTGCAACACGTCTTGTCAAATTACGACAGTGACACGCTCCTGGAACACCGTACACCAGTGTTAAATCCCAAACATGCCCAAGCCCTGGCCCATGATGAGACCCTTTTTCTGCCACGGAAGTTCCTGCCTTCAGCCGATCCCGGATCATGGCCACCTGCCGACACTCCTCGCTGTCAAGAACAGCGTCTTCTGCTGCACGGCCTTATCTGGAAATTGACATGGAGCTCGGGGGATCAGACTTCTGAAAGGTCCTGAACCCCTCAACTCCCCAACTGACACCGAACTTCCGAAGGCCATGGCAGTCTGCTCCTAACAAAGCAAGTCTCACTGTCGCCGCCATGGGGCCGAGTAGAACCTGCCGCAGCCTGGCACGGCCAGAGGCACGTAGCTGCAGCTTCGACGAATCTGCAGCCAGACCTTGGCTTCTAAGCTTTTGAGGCTTGGTGAGGCTTGGAGCTTTCAGGGCATTCCGGGTTGCCGTCTTGCCGAACCTCTGCACATGCCCAACTGTCAGCTGCTACAACCGTCGCAAAAAAAAAACATTACTGCAGAAGGGCGTCGTGCCCGCTTTACGGCAGACCTCGCTTGCTCCTCTGCGCAGGGATTGGCATTAAATGCCAGGGCGACGTCATAACCTCGAGAGCATTAAATCAGATCATCTACTGAAAATGGAGGCCAAGAGCAGGCCGCCCCCTTGAAGGCACTTTGCTTGATGCACCCGTTTCGGAACGATGTAGGCACATCGCACAAAGGCTGCAGAAAGCCATTCGTCTAAGAATGCAAGCTCCGTACTGCTTCCATAACAAACCAGGCGCAAAGTTTGGAAATGCGCGTAACGTAACGGCACATGAACAATTTGGCAGTGTCAGCGCAGACCAAATGTCGAACAACTGGTTACTTGGCTTCGTGTGCTGTAACCTGAATCAGCAAAGGTCGCGGCTCGTGGCACAGTGTGTTTGCGCGATTTACCAGCGTCCTAGAACAGCATACTGCGGTTCAAGTACGAAGACTTGCTGCATTTAATCCGCTCCTCTCTCTGCAAGGCGCCCTGCGGCCTGTGTGGAAGCTTCGCTTTCTCCTGATCCGGCGTGCTAGATCATCAGAATCGTCACCAAACTGCGCAGCACTCCCGGCTATGTTTTACAAGGCCTGCACTGGCTGACACAGCCGCACGTGCGCAGTTCCAGATCGAGTGCCTCGACTTTGCAGACAAGGCTCTTTGAAGGTAAAGGTCAAAGGCATCATGCTGCTTCGATGGAAGTCGTAAGCCATGGTGTTCGGCGCCAGTGTGCAATATCTGGAGCAGACCGGAAGATATCAAGACTTGAGCCAAACGCAACTACAGTAGCAGGCGAAGTACAGGTCTCCTTCGACATTGGACTCCAACAAAGATGGACTCCCGAAGCTCCAAGTTCCCGAAAATGCAGATTGCACCTACTAGGAGACTCCTGTTTCAAGGTTTCTCGACTTCCTACCTACTTCGATGTGCCGGGACTGATGACCTCCGGAAACGCCAGAAGGCCATAGCTCGTAGCAAGTACAAGGGCTACCATCAGTGATTGAGGGCATCCCTTGACTCCATCTTCACAGTCAAGGCAGACTGAAGCGCGGGATTTACGGAGCGACCTGGAAGGAGGATGTAATTTTTTGGGATTAACTCACTTTGTCTTGAGCGATAGTATCTCAACGGAGTACAACAACGATCAAAACAGGAGTCTCCGGCGCTCAAAACCCACCGTGGGCCAGGCCGAAACGGGCTCAGCTTCGTGGCTGGGCGTGCCGGGCTCTGCCTGGCATGGCTCCGGGAGTTAGGGGGGGCGCTGCCTCGGGAACGCACTCCGTCCATGTGGCTCACCTGCCTACGGCCATTCGGGCACGGCACCCGCCCGCTTCGGGGCGACGACTCTTGCTGCTACTGGCACTTCGGCGAGACCCTGGACGAAGCCACCAATAACAAGAATAGATTCGCGAGGGCGCACCAGCCGCTGCCACTTCCCGCTGACGAAGGCGACGCCACGCTGCTCCGTAGGGTGCCCCGGGCCGGGGGACTGCGTGACAATGGTGGCAGTGATCGCCGTGTTCGGCATAACACGAATCAACTCCAAGTGTGCTGGACAGAAGAGCAAGACCACAGTCCGAGAAGAAATTTAGAACAGAAGCAGCAGTCAGATGAAATCATTCAACCCACTAGACTGCTTGAAGATGCTTCAAACAAGCACGTTAGCAAGGAGACAAAGAGCTCTGAGTAATGGCGATGACGACGACGGCTATGATGTTGAGAAGGAGAAGTAGCGGTATGAGGAAGAGAAATTCAGAGGGAAGTTATGCTCAAGGCGGCCTTCCTCATCACCTACGACACTACCAAAAAGGGATATTCATCATCATCACCACCATCGTAAACGTCATCACGATGATGGTCACCACCATCAACACCACCGCCGTGACCGACACAATGCTCCCGATCTTCACCTTCATCCCCATCATCAACCTCATTCACATTGCTCATCATGGTCATCATTCCCACCATCACCAAGAACATCATCGTCAATCGACGCACTGTCCCTCTCGATTTCACCACCATCACCACCAAGAGGTAACACCACGATCGTGACCGCCATCACCATCATCCCGATCTCGACTTGCTGATAATGAGCTAAGCATCCTGAGCACCATCACGGCCACCCGTCGACGTCGTCACTATCACCACTCCTCACTGCATCGTTCTTCATCAACGTTGCCAAAATCACTAGCGTCACGATGATCACTGGCATGTTGCAATTGTCGGCGAATAACCGATTGGTGACGCTGGTGGCATGAAAGTGATGGTTCTGACAATCATGAACATGAGCATGGCCATGATAAGATCATCTGCGAATGATGAGGGTCTTTGTCATCACCTGCATCCTGAGCATCCTCCTCACTGTCATCTCCTCATTACTTCTCACCAAAGCTGTGAACATTAGCTTCGACGAATCGCCATTGCACTGTCTGTCACCATCTTTGCAGTCATCGCCATGGACGACTTATTATTTGTTCATCTAGCTCAAATCAGAAGGATGTGGTGTTCGGGTGCACGTACTCTGCTATCACCGTTGTGTGCCCGTCATCCCTGGTTTGGCACCTGGGGCGGGCAAGCCACAACAGTAAAGACAAAAAAACCTGCACCAGCCTGACCTACGTGCTGCCACAATGGACTGATCACATTTGGCTATACTGCCTGTACAAGCTCGAGCACGCCACGGATCTCGTTGAGCGGAATTTGCGGAATCGAAGCCACCTCCGGTACGAAGGCATCTCTTCTCGGCAAATCTTCCATTACCATTCGTAAACGAGAGCCAAAGAACGTGCGGATACAATGACCATGGACCTCAGAGACCGGATAGTCTTGTGCTAGCATCTCAGCAGTCTGGCCTGCTCCAGGAGCCAAAAGGCTTCAAGGTAAGCTTTCTTCACCCCAAGACCAAACTCGGTTGGACTCTCAGGGTCTACAAGGGCTCTGCCAGGAATAGCGCGTGATTCCCATGTCGTCCGAGGCGGACTATGAAAGCTCCAAGGCGTCACCGAACTCGCTACAGCTGATTTAACCCAATCCGCCAAATTGCCGTCCCTCAGCCTCCTGTTTTTTGGGCGCAAAGCTGGCAGACTCGGCACGGCCTGGCGCCTGAGCGCTGAGGCATTTTGCACGAAAGCTCGGGCTTGGGGTTTGCCTGCTCACACACGCTCAGGTTCCGGCAGCTTTGGCTTCAGGCACCGGCTCTGGCTCTTTCCAAGCCTCTCCTTCGTAGTACTGCGTCCTCGCGAAACGGCTGGAGGGAAATCCAAGCTTTGACGCCGTGGCTGGCCGTCTTCCACATGCACAGAAGGGCTCGTTGCTCGCTAATAGTTTCGAGAGCTGCGCTGGAAGAGATGCTGACTACTGTGGCACTCCTGCTCCTGCTGCTGCTGCTGTTACTGCTACTGCAAGATACTGCTTTAGTACTACTGCTACTGCCACCTGATACTTCTTCTGCTCCTGCTACCGATACGGCTGCTGCTACTGCTACTGCCTCTGCTGCTGCTACCACTGCTGTTACTGCTGCTGCTACTCCTGCTCATACTCCTACGGCTACTCGTACCGCTACTGCTACTGCTCCTACTACTACGGCCACTGCTGCTGTTGTTGCTGCTGCGCTACTACGATTACTATTCCTACTACCACTACCACTACTACCACTACTACCACTACTACCACTACTACCACTACTACCACTACATACCACTACTACCACTACATACCACTACTACCACTACTACCACTACTACTACTACTACTACTACTACTACTACTACTACTACTACTACTACTACTACTACTACTACTACTACGATTATTATTATTACTACTATTACTGCTACTGCTACTGCTACTACTACTACTACTACTACTACTACTACTACTACTACTACTACTACTACTACTACTACTACTACTACTACTACTACTACTACTACTACTACTACTACTACTACTACTACTACTTCTTCTTACTACTATTACTGCTACTACTACTACTACTACTACTACTACTACCACTACTACCACTACTACTACCACTACTACCACTACTACTACACTACTACTACTACTACTACCCACTATTACTGCTACTACTACTACTACCACTACTACTACTACTACTACTACTACTACTACTACTACTACTACTACTACTACTACTACTACTACTGCTACTGCTACTACTACTACTACTGCTACTACTACTGCTCCTGCTCCTGCTCCTGCTCCTGCTACTGCGACTGCGACTGCGACTGCGACTGCTACTGCTGCTGCTGCTGCTGCTGCTGCTGCTGCTGCTGCTGCTGCTGCTGCTGCTGCTGCTACTGCTACCACCACTACCACTACCACCTTCTTCTGCTACTGCTACTGTGACTGCGATTACTGCTACCATAACGACGACGACTTCGACTGTAACTGTGTCACTGCCACAACCACCACCACCACCACCACCACCACGACCACCACCACCACTACCATCACCAGCACCACCACCACCACGGCCGGATTGCCCTCTTTGGCACTCCGACTTCTTCGCGTAGCCGTATTCTTATTATATAACACTGACTGCCAGCAATGATGTGACGGCTGTTGTTCTGATGCTGGAAACTTGGCTTCGAAAGGTGCTCCAATGGAGTGCGATAGCCACGCACAAGGATGAAAATTCTGGAGTGGCCTTCTGAAAGTTGGTCCTTACATCGACATCCCTGAAGTTCGCTGATATCTTATCTGGCAGGTCTGCCTGGAACCGAACTCAAAGGCTCAATAATTGCATCTTCCAGCTGAACTGGTACCCTCAGCTCAATGCTTCGCCTTCGCACTCTCGGCTCTATGCGCTTGGGAGCAAAGACCTCGTGGACTGAAGCTGGCCACGCATGACCGAGAGAGGAAGGTTGCGTGCAGAGGACGCGGGGTACTGAGCTAAGAGAATGGTCGGGCGAGAACGAGACCTGAAACAAGCTCATGATATCAGCGATCAAGGTGCGACTAATGCTGTGACCATCGCTATCATGGACGATCAGCAGCAAGAGCAACAATCAGCATGATATAACGATGATATACTTAATTTTTTGATTGGGCAGTAGCATGGCAACATGAAAAATGACAAGACAAGCATGCTGACTGTGACGATGACGGCTGATGAAGAAGGATGATGATGGTGGGAAGTGGTGGGGTGGTTGGGGTGCTCCTGCTGCTGCTGGTTGGTGGTGTGGGTGGCGGTGGGGTGGAAGTGGCAGTGGTGGTGGCGGTGACAGGGATGATGCATGCAATTGCATTTACAACCATCAAAGCTACGATGACGGTCATGAGCACGATCATGATGACGATGGCGGTGATGGTGGTCGTGAAGCAGATTGCGATGTGGAGGACGTGACCTGGATGATGATATTGACGAAGAAGAAGATGATGATGATGGTTCAATGATGATGCTAATCATAACGGAGGCGGGAAGCGCAGGTAACTAACAGTGCTGCCGAGTCTTCGCGATCCTCGTAAACCCACACGAAAGAATTGAAAGACTATAGCCGATACCAGACCACCGGACGTAACTCACCTTCTTGGGCAACGCTCGAGAGCCGCAGGCCTGCTTCAGGGACCCCGCGGCCTGAGACGGTGCTAGTGCTAGGGTAGTGTAAGCTTGGGGGCCCGGGGTTCATGGTGGTTGCTCTAAAGCACGAGCATGACCGATGGAATCTCTCCCTGCCAAAAAGTGGTT